GCCACGAAATCAGAGCATGCACCACCGATTCCCGTGCCTGTGCCTCCAGGTGGCTTGGTAAAATTGGAAGTTCTTTTGAACGATTTTGTTGTTCTCAAATGTTCTCAGGATGTGGTCAACGGTCAACCCGCAGGTTTTCAATATGGTGCCGGCAAGGGGGGTAACCACCAACTCCGAAATGTGCACGGCACCAAAACGAAAGCGCACTCAGTCGAGGAAAGCACCCGCTCCGGACGTTTGTGCGGGCCCGCTCCGTCGAACTGCACGAGAGGCATGAACGTGGCGTAACTAGCATCGATTATTATATAATATTATATAGTTGAACACGCTGGTGAGTATCCGCGATCAAACCCAGAGCTTCACACCTACTGTAGGAACCTCCAGTGTGACCACACTTTTTGGGCAAAAAGCAAACCAAAGCATCCTTAGAGGGATTGAGTGTTTGATCATCGGTGAGGAAGTTTCAAGAAGCCATGGCCTGCCTTCGGCATGCTCTCAAGCAGGCTTAGAGCGTGCAGCCACTGAGCACCTTTCTCACAGGAACTGATTGCAGCACTGTAGCTGATAACACTTCGCTCCACCTTGTACAAGGACATGGCAGCAAGAAGCTCACAAGCCCTTTGCCATGACCTAGCCTTCGAACATGCTGAAATTGCAATCGTATAGTCTCTGGCGTCAAGGTTCGCCTTGGGGCTGCCCTGCAGGATCTCAAATACCATGGAAACTAGGTCTGCCCGCTTCTCTTCCCCTAAGGCCTTCAAGGTATGCGGGACCCAGTGCTTCCCATCTGCCAAAGGCCCTACGATTGCATTGACGGCATCTTTTGATGGATTGCGGCGGAGTTGGAGCAAAGGGCTTAAAGGATACCTCCAGCTCTTCGCAACCACCTGGGTCACCTTCAGGCCAGACTTCATCAGACTTGGCCATCATCCACCAACACCCACATGATCATGCTGGCCGGGGCCAATGTAGCCCAAACACTGCGGCGGGAAATCAGAATCCGCGCAAGCTTCGCTGCGATCATTTCCTACGGGTGCCCAGTTTAAAGAAAGATGCTCTTAGGAATTGGATCCTAATTCCACATATTCCACTGCCCTCCAAAAAAGTCCACATGCTGCCCTTCTTCGTGTCATGTGGCATCCCCTCATCCCAAGCCAGCCCTGCCAGCACGTCCACACGCCTGGTCATTCTGTGGTCGGATCTTCAAGACCTTCTCTGCAGACCAGGGGACACCATAGACGTCTCCGGTGTGGCTCAACACAGCGTGACCCCACTTGCCCAAGCCATTTCCAAAGTCACCTAGTTGGATGACCTGCACAAAAATGGAACACTTCTTGCAAGGTCCGATCACGTGCAAAATCCAGCGAGTGTTGCTTGGCCTGAGTTGACGCCCCTTGGAAGTTGATCTTCAACGCAGCTGTTGCAGAGAAAGGAACAGCATAGATGGCACCATTTTCAGCCACCACCGCTGAGTGCCAGCTGTGGAGCGTGTTGCCTTGCAAATTGCTGCGAGCAGCCCTCTCCGCATGCCACATCCCTTATGCTTTTGCTCGGGGCATGTCGCTGGCATGGCTGAAACGTCTTTTAAAAGGGAAGGTCGGGAAGGTCGAGAAGGTATGGAATCACCACTCAACAAACAAGGACTGCACCTGACAGAAGTGAAATGGGTGGATTCCGGAAGCCCTGTGTGTGACAACATGTGACAATTATGTGTGCCAAAAACCGTCTGATGTGGGCGCATAACACAGTTTGGAGTCCGTAAACAATGGCCACCATTGCCTTGGCAAACCAGCTCATGTGTCCTGACTTCTTCACGGACCATATCTACCTGGCCCGGAGGTTCAGAGGCATGGTAATCCAACACAAAGCGTGGTATGGACTCCTAGCAGCTAGCAGTCCTCGTGAAGAATGATCAAAAGACTAGGCAGTTGTTACTTCGACTCCTGGTGATTCAGCGCACGATATCTCAAGTTGTTTTCACGTGCATCTCAGGCCTGCAAAGTTGAACAGTCAAAGCCCGGCAAGGCGACCAGCCAGGAATCCACGGCGAGGCCTCCAGCCCAACGGGACAGGAGAATCGGCCTTAAAAGAAGCAGCGATGAGGGCACAGATTTGGGTGGGCACAGGAGTTGGGATCCCTTTAGCCAAGAGACTTGAAGCGTCCTGCAAGTGGCAAACATGGAAAAAAATCTAAACTTATCATAATTCAGATGCATTATCCTGTGAGTAGCTATGAGTACCTTCACAAACAAATCAGCAGCAACTCCAAATTGTGCGTCCTGTGGGGATATGCTCCAGCTCCCGCACAGAACGAGCTTTCGGGTCGATGCGTAAAACTGAGTCAGCTTCAACAGGAAGCGCAAAAATGATGCCCTGATTGTTGGCAGCAGCAGTTCGCCACTTACCTTCCAAATCGCTGAAATCTCCAAATTGCATCGTTTCATCTGTCCGGGTGTCGATGCAAAGAACCATTCGTGCGGCCCACGGAATGCCGCAGACATATTCATCAGCCTTCACAGTAAATCCAAACTTCCCCTTGGACGTCACAGCAAGATGTCCAAGAGAACTCACCGCGCTGGACACGGGGTCTATACGCAACACTGCTGGTGCTTGCCACGGCATGGCATAGATCAAGCCGTTGGCACCTGATATGGGAGGATATGAACACATTCATACTGCTAGGCGATTAACAACTTTTAACAACTGCTCCTTGTCTGTCCACGTCCACCTCATGAAGTCTCCTGCCTTGTGCAGCGTGACGCCACTTGCAAAATGCAGTTCCAAGGTCGTCAATGCTCACTTTGGAGGCACCTGAGACCTGTGAAATCTTGAGAACGTGATGAGCCTCAGGACACGTCAAGTCATGCCAAAACCTGGCACAACAAGGTACACACAGGGTAAAGCTTGGGTGGTGAAACAGCAGCAGGTTCAACGAGATGGATGTCCCCCTCCCCGCTGTCTTCTGGCTTTTGGTTGGTCTGGTTGTTTGATGACTCAGTCTGTGGTGGCCCAGTCTGTGCTGTCAGCACAACGTCCACCCTCTTCATCTGTCTGCTCCTTGTTATATGTGTATGTATATATAACCATATGTGTATATATATATATATCCCTCTCTCTCTCTCGAAAAGGCAAAACCGTCAAGGCGGGCCATCAGCACACCGACACACGGCCTGAAAACCTGAAAACTGAAAACGACTTTGAAATTGAAACGTAGTAACAAGCGCATCGCTAGTAGTAACAAGTGCCTTACTAGTAGTAACAAGTGCCTTACTAGTAGTAACAAGAAGCTTGAAACGGCTTGATGCCGTAACTCACCGAGGCGCGGCGCAGGGCACAGCCCAAAGGTCCCCATTGGCTTCAAGCAGCTGGGGCCAACCACAAAGCTTGTCATGATTGTGAAGCTCCTAGGAACAAGAAGCTACTATATAGTAGCTCCAGGCATTACTACTAGTAGCAAGAAGCTGCTAGTAACAAGGCACCTTACTACTAGGCCTTCACAGCACGCGATCACCTAGCTTGCATGATAAGGTTATCCGGCTCCATTGGTCACAATGCAGGTTTCCAAGGTGAACTCGGGTAACGACTATGCCTATGCCTATGCAAGTTGTTTGTAGATCATAACCATAATGGTCACTACTGTGGATATACTGTTCCGTGTTTGCTCTGCAGCAACTGGAAGAAAAAAAGAAAACAACAACACGTCTCCGTGTGCACATTCCCGGTCAAGGTGTCGATTCCTAGGTTGGCATCGTAGCGGGCAACTACTACTCATTGGCACATCCATTGCAACTCATCAATTTGAGGTGCACATTCAGAGAATATGAAGGCTTGAAAGCGGGATGAAAATCCATCAAATGGGGAGGCGCTGGTAAAGTGTATATAACAGAAAAGCAACACCACCGTGCAGAAGCTGATCTTTCAGCCAAGGACATGTCACAGTCGTACAATGCATTGAAGTGCCAAGGCATCTGAGACTCTTAGAAGGCTGCTATCTTGAAGCCCAAAAATGACGCCTGCATCTCCAAAAAAGTTCAAGATTGGCGAGCAAGAAGTTTGCAGCTTTTATATGTCAGAAGCTCCACTTGAATCAATGAAATCTGACCAACTATACTCCATCCGCGCTTGTTCTTCCAATGCAACAAAGATTATCTCAATGCATCTAGGACGTACAACTCCCTTTGTCTCTCTCTCTCTCTCTATCTCTGAGCACTTCATCAACCTGAACAAGTCAACAAGTGTTTTATATAGTTGGTTGCCTCTGGCCTGTATTCAAAGCCACAGCTATGTCAAATTCCTGCTCAGAGATATCCGCAGACAGGGCTGAAGCAGCACACAGCATGGCTGTCAACTTCATGATCCTCATGGCTGCTGCTTGGGTCTGTGCAAAAGCAAAAGCACTGTTGTCGCTTCTGTTGTCGCTTGGTCCGAGTTGGATCGGTTTCGAGTGAGTGGCCTGCCTCGTTTCTAGACCCCCTGTCAATCTATCCATCTACCAGATCCATAAGAGAACCTCACGCTAAGGCCTTATTTTCCTGGAGGGGTGCTGAAAATAACGATTGAACTCCATCTCATTGACTCTTGGCTCGAGCGGAAGCTGCACACTCGAGTCACTGGAGCCCTGGCTGATTCATTCCTGTGAGTGCCAAACAAACAAGGCCTCCCGGACTCCCCTCAGGAAACAACCTCCGGACCATTTCCAACAATCCCAACAATTCTGTCACAGGGTGTGTCTCCGGCCAGCTAGGACCGGAGTCTACCCTGAAGGATCAGGATCTAAAGGGTCAATGATGAAAGCGATCAGCTGGTGATAGGTCACCACTTCGCAAATTCAGTTACTGAGGTCAGTTTGGTGTGAAATCGATCGAAGTCTCTGAAGTTGGCAAGCATTCACTCACCACTTCAGGACCTCCACTTCACCTAATTGTACGGGGGCGCGTCATTCGATGGCTTAGCTCTTTTAGCTTGCATCGGGACCGGCCCAACATGAAATCACCATCTTGTCAGCCTCAAGGGATGCAAAGGCGCACCAATCGCAGAGAATGCTCAGATTCCAAGCATCCTAAATCGTGTGGTTTATTCATTCATATGCACGTCTGTCACGCATATCCCTCACTGAATCTTCAGGCCCCAGCTAATGGTGCTGCTGATGGCCTTGCGCACGCGTGCACGTCTGCGTCGGCGGGGCTTAGCAGAAGGCTCCTCGACAACATATCTTCAACAATATATGATCATTGATGATTCATGATCTGGTTTGCTTCTTAAAATCAACAACACTCTCGGCAGCTCTGGTCCTATACAACACACAACTCATGATTGGACATGGGCGTCCTCCCGCACATCCTCGAAGTTTTCCTCCTGGACCTCCGGGTCATTCTTTTTCGCTGCAACGTCAAGGTTTGGAGCGATGAACATGGCCAAACGGAAGCGCCACCTACAGTGTCAAAAACCTGGTTCCCCAGCAAACGTGTTATTGCCGTGTTCTTGGTAAACTCTGCTGCGGTTCCAGCTTCCCTCATTTCCCCGGGCATGGTCTCTCTTTTGTATTTGCCTACGTTTGCGAATCCATGATCCTTCAAGCTTTGAGTTCGTCAACACAAGGGCCCAATAATCAGCCAGCGGCCTGTTCAGCAGGGAGATCACAGGCGCAAATAATCGACAACCACCTTGGTCTAAACAATTGTCCCAGTGCATGCTACGGGCATGAAGGCAGTATTGAGCACAGTTTCTTGCCCATACATGCGAGTGACGTCGACAGGGGTTGCTTGGGCTCGAAAAATGGCCCGGTCTGTCGTCGGCCGCTTGGGTAGCTTGGGTCTTCAAAGAGTTCGCATGCGTCTTTTTCTCCACCGGTCCGGAGATTTTATCCTAGTTGCCGCTCCTTCCGTCTCCAAAGCTGTGTGGGCAACACCGGCCCCGAACCCAACCGCGGGCTCCAGCTGTGGACACCACCGAGCCTATCACACCACCGGGCAGGAATCCTGTAAGAAGCTGCCATGTGCCAGATAGAATGTCAAGAAAAACACCAGACTACATGCCAGGACACACAAGTCATATCAGAACAAACTTTGGAACGCTTGCCAGGGGAACTGACATGACAAAACACCACGGAACACACGCCGCAATATATGTCAGAACACATGCCGGAACAAATGGCAGATTTGATGGCAGAACAACAAAACACATGTCAGAACACGTATCAGAACTGAAGTCAGACCATATGTCACAACACATTTCAGAACACATGCCAGCAGCTTTTTCTCGGTAGTTTCAGGCCCAAACTCCACACAAAGCTTCAGTTCAATCCTTGCAGTCGTGTACCCCATTGGGTCCGGTACAACTGCCTATTCATTCAAGGCCCTCTTTTTTTGAACGCAGCCTTCAATAACCCAAACGACTTCAGTGACCCAAGTAACCTCATGGAGATCTTGGTTCCACAGCTGTGCTCGACCACAACATGGCCCAGTGGCCCAAGTGGCAGAAAGCATTCAAAAAGAACATGGGTGTGCATAGTTGTAGGAAGATCGGAAGACCCCATTATTGAAGCATTTAGTCTTGTCGAGCGCGTACGCCACAAGATAGAAAAATATACAAAAAGCTTATCCCAGCAACCTACGGCTTTTAGACCAAACATCCCAACTCTGCCCGCACAGTCTCAACGTGCTCATCTTTTTCAGCCAAAGGCTGATAAGCACTGGGCAGAAGAAGGCAGATCAATGTCATCGATCAGATCAAGAACAACTGCAAGGGATGAATCATCTGTGCTGGGGACAATTTACCCTCACAATTCGGGAGGTGGGCGGGGAAAAATAGACAGCAGCCACAGATTTCCAACAGAAACATCAAGGCGCAAGTCGACACTCATCCCTGCCTTAGAAAACATTAAGGACAGGGGGTCCCTTCTCTCCAAGAGAACCTTCGATAATGCTACATCAACAAGTTGAAGTTTGCATCAATGGGTGTTGGTTAATTTTCCTTCTTCCAGGATTCAAGGGGGTCTTTTGGAGGTCTCCATCTTGAAATGCACACCCACATAGGGCTGCTTTCAACTCTTGCCAGGTTGCCCGCCATGAACGTGGCTCGGTATCTAACCAGGAAGATGCTCAAGGACATGCCCACCCCTGCACCTGTGGGTGAACGGAAAAGAATCCTTCAATACATCCATCCAGTGATTCTCTTTCTTTCTGTCTGCACCTGCCTTTTGAATCTCAAATTGTCCTTCGCACTGTAAGAATATGGAAGAACAAATTATATGCTCTATCAAAGTATCAATCTATCAATATATCGATCTATCTATGTTTATGTCTTGTGTGTCAAACTTTCCGATTGACATTGCATGTGACAGCGCAAGCATTCCGCTTTCCTTTCCCTGCCTGTTGCTGCATCCACTGCCGCTCCGAAGATGCCACCCAAGGCCGCACAGATGGGCACAGACAAACCAAAGGTAAATGGAGCCAGGAGAAGGCCTCGCAGCTGGACCGGGACCGACCGGAACGCACTGTCTGTACACAAACACTGGCCCTCTATTCAATACGAGCATGCCTTTGCACTCTTGGGGGGGGTTATGTTTTTAGTAAATAGTGAAATCAGCGATGTCAGTCTGTGTCCTTTAGCGCTAATCAACATGTGACAGGAAAATTTGCATTCAATGTGGTCTCAGCTGTGCTGCCCACCTGCAATAAGCCCCAGGAATGCTCCAGATAAAAGCCCAAGGAAGGCACCAACAGCAGCACATAATGGGCCTGGCGATTGGTCAAAAGCTCCCGGTGGGATCCTACATAGCACAACTTGTTGAATTCCAAGCACTTCAAGAAAGGCGTTGAAGCGCCAAGATATTGTGCAGTCATGAGTTTCCGCGAATCCATCGCCTGTAAGGCCAGTCAGCAGCAAAGCTGCCAGAACCTGGCACAAAAGCCTAAATCTGGGACTGGCCCCATCACCACCAATAGTGGAGGAGGAGGAGTAATTAGAAGAGCCTTCACGAAAAAGAATTAACTATATGGGGGGCTAATGACTTAGATGGGCTTTAGCGCCTGAAGTAACATAGGCTTTGTGGCCTTTTTTCAATAAACCTATGTCATGGTGTTCTCTTTACTCCAGACATGCCCCCAACTGGTCGAATGAGATAGGACTTGTGGAAGGCACTAGTCGGCATAGGCTCGGAAAGACTTCTGTGGTTCTTTCGGTTCTTTTATCCAAACGCTCATGACTTAGGTCTTGTGGATCATTTGCCTCTTCAGCGTTAGCATTATGACTTGGGATTTGAGGTTTTCAGGTACTTCTGCTAAATCCATCTACTGTAAATCCTATGTCTCTAGCATGTAGTATAAGTGCAAATGTGCAAAGTGCAAAATTGTCATAACTGTTCGTGGGAATGAGACTGACCCAATCTACACCTCACATGATTCCATCCGCTAAAAGAAAGCGCTCTCCTCTCCGGCCCCTGCACACACAGTCATACTCTTGGCATCTCTTGGCTACCGATTCAGCGCATCTTGGCTGCCAGCACAGCAAGCATGCCGCGCCTGCTGGGAATAGCGAGGCTTCGTCCAGCCTAGGGGCAGCTCTGCAGCAAAGCAAAAGCCACCCAGGCAGGTGCCAAAGAGAGCGCCACCTGGTGCAAAAGTGCTTGGACATTGGAAGCTGCTGTGTTGGTGCTGGTGGGTCCCAAACTGCTGGATACGAAACTGCTTATGGGGATGATGCAGGCTTCCGCCGGGATGTAGACGAGGGAGTCTGCGCATTCTCCGGCTGCTTAGCAATTCTACTAGCGATTCTGTGGAAGCTTGACGAGCTATTCGAGGTATCTTCCACCCGCACCGCGGCCTCCAGCACCCAATGCACCGCCCAGAAGGAGACCACCACAGGCTCCAAAGAAGCAACACACCTCGCCGATAGAAGCGCATTCCCCGAATGAGTCCCTGGAGTCAAGTGTGCCTTGGCCGCTCTCGACTCTTACTGTACCCCTTCTGAGTATTTGCTCCTAGTAGCGTCTTTGTTCCTAGCAGTACGGCCAGGAGCCCTAGTAGCGTCCTTGCTGTACCCCTTCTGAGTCCCCATGCCGGTGCTGAGATCCCAAAAGTCAGCGGCGAAAAAACTGCGCCAATGGCAGCGCCGGCCTCGGGACAGTCTTAGAGCAAACCCTTCTATGACTGAAGTGATGATCTGAGGAAAAACTCAGCTTTGACTCTTTGACCAAGTTGCTGCCGCGCCAAGCAGCAGCCCAACAACTGCAGAAGCTGCACTCACGTAAATGGCTGCTACTCTGGCACCTCGTGTCGTGCAGTCCGGTCAGCCAAGGAGAGCTTCCAGAGTTTCTACCTCTGTTGCTTTTGGGCTCTCTGTTTAATGGGGAATATGGACAGCCCCAGCTCTGAATTGCTCCCTCCTAAGCACCAGCTACTACAGTATCTCCACCGTTTGTCTGTCTTTCCTATCCTTTAACTTAAGCCACCCTAGATTGATAGATTCTTCGCTCCGCTGCCGAACACTCAACAACATACCCCAACATCTAGAAAAACATCCTGAACCACCTCGAACGAGAATCATTCCAATAGTTCCCGGAACTGGGGAACCCGTGGTGGTGGTGCAGGATGTGGAATGGACAATTGGTCGCAGGATCATTGCGGTGGCGTCTGGTGGGAAAACAATGATACGAACTGGAGCGTGCAAAATATAATAAACGGGTGCACTTTCTCAACCACTCATTCGCTGCATGGTGGATGACAAAAGGCCTGCACAAAGACTTGTCAACAGTCAAGGTCACCTGTTTGACCGTCAACCCCTGCCAAACAGTATGCTGGTGCGCGAGTCCTTCCCGCACTAACCAAGGCACCCTGTAAAGCTGATAGCCACGCACAATTTCGGCAAGGCACCTGAAGATTCAGGCCCTCAAATCTGGCACAGCTAGAGACAGTAAATGACAAAAACATACAAAAAACCGCTGATTCGCGGCTTGAGCTAAGTCAAGGGCAGCAACCATTTGTTGAAACACCTATACTCTTGAGTATTATATATGTGGTACACGTTCTGCAAGAAGTACACGGAGAACTGCATTTCTGAGTTTGACATTCGCCGGCCGGACCTCCTGGTGGTTGTTCACCGGTGGGGCCTCCTCCTGATACAAGTTGTGGGTGAACACACCACTGGCCTTCAAAACAAAAACTCACTGCTTACAAATGTCACGACGAGTCTGATTGATCACAATCCAGGACCCAATTGTTTCAGTTTCACAATCTCAAGAACACTGTCCCGCACTCTGCCAGGTATTCCCACATCTTCCATCAGCTTGCGCTTCCCGTCCCCTATCACCCTGAGTCTCCTCTGGTGCCTTTGGGCTGCACTTTGGGCTACCCGACATGGCCCAAAGTCCCAAATCACGGCTCTTGAACGACTCTCAAACGGCTCCGGGCGGGTGTCCGTGCATGGTCCTTGAACCCTGTGGCTTGATGATTCAAATATTAAAAAAAATGTACTGAGTGTACTGTATATCTCAACAAGCGAACGCTCTTCGTGACAATTGTGGGTGTCTTTTCTCAGCAAGTGGAATCCGGCTATGCAATGCAACCAGGCGCGCCTTCCAAAAATTCTGGCATACCCTCCTCAAAGACCGGCTGAGACATGTCCCTAGAAGCTTGTAACTGTTCTGGAAGTCGCAGCATCGGTGCTTCCTAGGCCTGAAGAACCAATATCATACGTGTTCATTGTGGTAATAAAAAAAAGTAACAACCAGAACGCGGGGGACGCGAGCAAAGGCTACAAAGCTTTTGCCAGAGCTATTCTTGACGAGAAGCTTGCACCAAACTGCAAGGTACGGATCATATAAGCCAAGGGGAAACTGGTGCTTTATAAAAAATACATATATATATATATATATATTTATGTGTGTGTGTTTGTGTGTGTTTGTTATATATATATATGTGTGTGTGTGTGTCACACCCTGGTTCTAAGGGTTTTCCAAAAAAAGCAGGGGCGTCAGGCTCGATACACCTACCTGACGCAACGAAGCTCTGGTGTATCGAGGGATGGGTGGACTGATCATCCACCTGTACCTGCTTCAACGGTTGAGCAAGCTGTTCCAATCCTCCTTTTTTGATTCCATGGTGGTTCATGATCCTTCCCACAAACCATTTCCCTTCCGCATTGCAGCTGCTGACTGTCACTTTCTTTTGAGCGCTTTCCGAAACAATTTTAAACAATACTGTTGTGCCGACTCACTCGCCTTGCCGTTCCCTCACCTTCCTTCCCAACGTGGCAATTGAGTCTAACTGAAAACCAAGTTCGAAGTGTGGACCGCTCAGTTTTCCCACTCGGGTACTGGGTGTGACCCTCCGAAAGGAGGCGCTGAAACCATTCCGGAAATCATCGACCTTCATTTTTATGACTGCTTTTCCGTTTCTTCAACTTTATCCCTGAATTAACTGATTTTCGAGCCGCCGGGCTATAAGCGACGGAAGTTCTAACCAAATTTCTGAAATCCATTCGTGCTGTGCATTGCCACATTCCTCAATTTTAACAATTTTTCAACCGCAGCCGTTTAGCCAAAGATCAGCTTACGCATACTCAGCACTGCAGATCTCAGGGATTGCACACCACATGCACTCAGGCTCCAGATCTCACTAGGATTTCCAAACTCTCACTTCAGCTGCTGTGCCGCGCCGGCGCCATTTTCTGCAGTCTTTCGGTTTGGCCTCTCCATTGTTCTCCACATGCAGTATCCCTGGCCGTATCCACAATGGCCATCAGCACCCGCCATACCTACTGTCAGCACTCAGCCATCATCATGGCACCATCCTCCACCAACGGCGCCTATCCCTACTGTCCTGTCTCATCAACACCCACCACCGATCTTGCCTCACTTGCAGACCACTTCACAGCAGCCGCCAGCTCTCACCTGGCCACATCACCTGCCAACCCATCCTCCACCGGCGCCAACCTTCGTGGCTCACACACACGCCTACCCACCCCCACCTCAAATGCAGGCACTTGAGCCCATGCCAGCACAACCTCTACACCATCCACATTCTTTGCAGCTCACATCACCAGCACCACCTGCTCCACACGTTCTGCAGGCACCACAACCACCGGCACAGCCGACTCCCATTCACCGGGACCAATCTCAAGGCGTTTGGCAACCTTACTCCCTTTTCCCACCTGTAGCTCACCCTTCACCACTCTCACATCAAACATCAACCTCTGCCGCCACTGCTCTTTCCGACCCAACACCTGCCACAGCGGCACCTACGCCACCAGCCCCTGGCGATCTGAGCATCCTATCCTCGGCCAGTGCCCATCCGAGCACCTCTCAACCGGCCACCAATGCTACAGCCGCTACACCACCCTCCACATCACCAACCGCCAACCTTGTTGCACCACCAGCCACAACAACTCCACCACTACCGCCATTACCACCACCCCCACCGCAGGCACCTTCAGCGCCAACTACGGAATCTCACAAGCGCTCCCACACACAACTTCCAGCAGCTACACCGACCCATTCGGGCACTGCCCATTCACCACCGGCCTCTCTTGCAACCACCGGCTGTACCCACCGCAGCAGGGACCGCAGCCGACGTCGTCGCCGCCACCGCAGTCGCCGCACGCGCGACCGGCGCACCAGACGTCACCACTCCCCTGCAGTTTCCACCGCCAAAGCCTCATTGGCACACCGCCGGCGTCGCCGTTCCCCCTCAACCTCATATCTCACAACATCAGATAGCCGCTCCCGCAGCCGCTCCCACGCACCCATCACTCTCCGGCACAATCAACAGTCCACAACTCACCACCAGATCACAAACATGTCCCAGGCGGACTTTCCCAACATTCCAGCAATGCGACGCCCCCATCCGCCTTGGAAACCACCTCCACCACATTTCCACCAACTTTCCCACCGAGAACAAATCGAATGGTGGCTCAACTTTCATGCTGCACAGTTGGCAGCAGAAAACAAACCACAACATGCATACGTCGCCAAACTCCTTGCTGACAGCGGCTACACCCATCATGATTTGGCAGATTTCCGACAACTCACCCATGTGAAGTGGAATGATGCTACCAATACCTACGACACCTTCTCCTACCACTGCATCAACATTCCCAGCCTGGTTGACAAGGCCACTCGTCCAATACCACCGCCTGCCGCCCGTGCCACCTCTACTACCTCAGAAACCGTGCAAATCAACGCTGGCCACACCGGCCCCCATGGCACCATCACCGCCATCCCACACGCATTACTCACCAGCAAACGCACGACAACTACGAACAAGCCCGCATACTCCACAACACATGGAAGCTGGCAAAAAACATCCATTCTATCATGATCCATCTCCTAGCCTGGGGCCGGGGGACTAAGTTCACCAGCGGCGGTGAAGCCCAAGCCATGCACCTTTTACAACAAGACCATGGCGCCGTTTGCCACTCCAAAGCCCGCTGCTGGGTGATTCACCCCCATAACGCCATTGTCAAAGGACTGGCGTGGTCTATCAATGCAACACCACCCGACCTTTGAAGCTTCACTACATACCACCGACCACCTCACCTTCCTCAACACCAACGCCAACTCACCACATTTGAGAGAGGCTTATCCACGCGTTTCACTTTTCGCCACCAACTCCGGCTTCGCAAAATCTGAGCTCCAGTCTTAGTGCCAGAGAGCTGTGATCACATGTCTTGGACCTCAGTCTTTTTGTAAAAAATTGCTTTTTCCTTTTTGAACCAATGCAACCGGCTGTCCATTTAGTGCTCAGTTTTGCCCGTTGATCGTTTTTCGTGGATGATCGCTTTGACAATCTCTTGGTTTTCTGAAGTTTGCTAGCTTCTTTTGGCCCACGGTTCTCCTTGCATGATCATCGTTTGCGGATCTCTTTCATGTTTTTTCAGGTTGTATTGATTCAGCCCCGCCTCACAATGTGACTCTGTATGTACTGCAAAATTCATGCTCAATAATTCATTCCGGTAATTCAATTGCATGCTCCGCTCGTATGCACCGGCCGCTTATGAAGCGCTGACACCTGCGATGCGCCATCCGCCCGCTGATCCAGCCTGCCACTTCAGCTGCTTGCCCCCGACACTGCACCTCAAGATGCAGTCTCCTGCCGATCAAGCTCGACTCCTCCATCGAACTACGATTGCCCTCAGTCAGCTCCATGGCCTACTTCAACAAGCAACCGACGTCCTGGCCAACCTGCACAGCCTTTACCTTGTTCACACACGGCAAGTCGACCCCCAATTCCACCGGCCTTTTCCACCCCTCCCTCCTGCAGTTCCTATCCCTTCCCCCACTTCCTCCTGTGATTCGGCTCCCACTGCCCCATCAAGCACGCACCACCACAGCCTCCAATCTCACAAGCATCCTCAACCTCCGCCTCTCCACCACCACCACCACCCAAGAGGAAACGTGAGCCTCCACCACCCCTCAAAGAGGATGCTGATTGGGACGCATGGGATGGCGACGCTGAAGTTCGCCTTGTGGAACTCAAAACTGATACCCGCCTGCGACCAAATTGGAACTACGTTGCTCGTCGAGTGGGTTTCTCAATTGCACAGTGCAAAGCACGCTGGGAAGAACTTCAAGAAGCACAACGCGGACACAAAGCAGTCATTTCACCCACACCTACTTCACCCGCCAACACGCCACCACCTCTTTCCCCTGTTCACTCACCTCCTTCTGCAGCAGCCATCCCACCACTGCCACCACCTTCAGCTCCAGACTTCTCTTACACTCCTACAACACCTCCATCACTTCTACCGGCCGCCGTGGCCATTGACGATGCTATGCCAGCAACCATCAGTGAGGACAGTCATCCGGAACCAGAAGCAGCTGACATCGGCAGTTATTTTGTATAGTCTCAGTCTCACCTGGCTCCCTTGGGCGAGCCTCTCGCAAACAATTTCCGTGCATAGCTGACCACCGGGGCAAGATCTTGCATTTTTGATACTCTAGGCGACCTCATCGCACTTCTTGCCGTCCTAGCAGTCTTTCCAACCATGTTACTGCAGTGCACAGCTGAATACCGCATTCTCTCACGTTCTTTGAGCATCGCTTGTCATTTTGCTTCATGTCACCGCAGCCATTTTCAACCTCTCGACTACTTTGAGTGTACAGACAAATTTTCGTTCATCATGGCCCCAGCTGACGTCCGACCGCCTCACGCCTCGCGATCAACTTCTACAGAGCAGACTTCAGCCACAGAGACATACTTTCTCCCAGACAACCCTCCTCCACACTTGACTCCTTCGCTCGCACACCAACCAGAACTTCTCTTCATGCAAGGCCTTCTCGACAGCCTTGCCAACGTGGTTACCCAGATCCTGAACCACCCTATGATCGACAGTCCCATACCAGACCACACCCTCTTCACC